CTCCATTTTTTATAAATTTCTAAAACAAGTAATTCATTATCTGTCCGCAGTAGAAGTTTGAAGAAAATCTATCGAGCTGAACATTTTCGCACGAACGTCCTTAAGTGTCGATAACGGTTTTTTATTTTGTTTTGTTTTTTTGGTCGGTTTCCCTAACTTCTTAACCCATATGACGCGTTTTTTTTCACTGAGATCTGAGATTTGCAAAACTTATTTGCGAAAGAGAAATGGGCCGTAAATTGAACTGACAGCACCTCATCAATTAGACAGCCAACAACTTTGACTGAAATCTAAAATGTTAAGACCTTCTGTTGGTTTTCCACACTTCTTAGCTCAGAAAAAGAGCAAAAAAATAAACGCGCAGCGATTTGCTAATTGTTATGAGACTAGCGTGCTGTTCAATTAGCCAACCTTTGGGCTGGAAGCCAATACAGAAAACTCCACTGTCAAAATTCGACAACAGCCCAAACGTCAAAAGTTGATTCCAACAGCAACACAACAACGCATTTCCAGGGAAACACGAGAAAACTGCGGACTAAAATGAAACAATTGAAACACGCTTCCTGTAATTCTACCTCTCCTTTTTAACTCCGGTCAGGAAATTTTATTTTCTAACTTACTGCTCTACATACTTACTGCTACGAGGTGATTATAATGTTATGTTTTCATGAGACGAACCTAATCAATGTCGATCGGAGTGACATGAAAGAATAACATTGGTACCCTGAGGTATACGTTGATTCGTTAAAAGTGATATTAAAGATAAGTTAACAGCGCAAAAACAGCACACGATGCTCACTGGGCCAAAGCGATGCTATATTTATTTTTGTTTCGCAGATAAAGCTGGATATTGTTCCAGACAAGGGCTGGCAGTCAGAAGACATGTTTGTTCCTCCTGGTTATCACCTGGATTCAAAAATAACCGATGACGCGGGCTCTCCAAAAGAAGCTGAGCAGGCAGCTTTCACTTACCCAGCAGGCTTAGGGAACGTGATGATGAACGGATGCTATGGGACTGGGTACAAGGAAGGCGATCCTTGTTACGTTGCTAAATGGACTCTTGACGCTTGTTTGGTGAGTAAGTAGGCTGACCGAACAGTTAAAGCCGAGAGAAAATGACAGGAGCTTTATAACCTTTACATCGAACCCCACAGCAATAAAGTAAGGTAAAAGTAAAGTCTGCGCACGAACCACTTGATCTATCAGGCCGGCGCTTATCTCCAGTTTCAGTAGCATGAAGCGACTAAGAGTATTCTACTATTCTTCTTTTCTAGTCTATCGCAGAGTTACTCCCCAGCATTTAATTCACCGGTACCCATTTATAGACCTGGGTGGAGAGAGGCGCCGTAAGAGTAAAGTGTCTTACCCAAGAACACAGCACAATGACCCCGGCCAGGGCTTAAACCCGGAGCCGGACTTGGAGCACTAACCACGAGGCAACCGTGCCTCTCATATAGCAATGAAGTGATGACATTTTATACGAAGTACAACATAACGAGATAGCTACACGGCCAGATCAATTAATATCGTTTTTTAATCACCCACAGAACATGATTGACGGCGCGGCATTCATGGGTGTGGGTTTTGATGGGCGTGGTGAGTACAGTCCTGAATCAAGAAAAATGAGCATCGTGCAAAGAAGCTGCGCTGGAAAAGCAACGTAAGTAGTCTTAACATCGTTTACACGTATTGAAATTTCAAGTAACATAAACAAATAATTTCTCCTCGGTCTGGCAATTCTACCCACAGTTTGTTCATTGACCAGCTTATATCGAGTGTTTGACAACCAGAATACCAGTTCATTTGAATGGCAACAGTAATGTTTTTATTTTAGCAGTGAATTAATATGATTTCATTGCTTGATTACTGATTTGAAAGTCGCCGAAATTCAAGAGTGGTTTACCTTGCACCTATTACTAAGAACTGTTAACGTCAAAATTTAATTGTAGAAGTAGATACGCAACGTGAGTAGTTAGCATTCGACTTGTATTTACCTAATAGGCACGGCTTTAATCAGCGTTGACTCCGCGTCATTTTCTTTAATAAACAACTTAAGAAGTGCATCTGACTACATCCCTGTAAGTATTAACTCCAAACCTTTTCTCCATTTATTTTTTAATCTGCCTGCACGTTTTCATGGAATCAGTGCGAGAGACTCAATGTTTTGATTTCCTAGGTACGATGATTATGATGTCCCGGATACAATGAATGTACATGGTATTTATGACACTAAAGCCACCATGCTGACGTTTGAGAGTCGCTCTGAGTTCCAGTCCCACTTGCAAGAGGAGGCCGGGGTATCAGGCTCATTCTTCGGCTTCTACGCAGGCGTGAAGGCCGCCTGGGGCGAATCGTCGTCAGGTTCAAGTCAACAATACATGGCTCAGTTAAGCGTCGATATAAACAGGTAAAAACAGGCTCCGGTTCCGTCGAACTAATATTGCTGGATATTGCAGACTATTATTTATCCCATTACAACAATAGGTCACTTTTGACGTGACCTTTGCTTCTGATGTGAAGTATATATGAAATAATTCATATTTGGACTGCGGTTGTAGATGAAAGTGAAGAATGATCATCGCAGTAAATTTTCCAATTTAAGCAAATGATTTCTATTAAACTTGCAGAGGAGTTTATTCAGCGGTGGGGCACGCATTATATCAAGTCGTCCAAGTTTGGCGGTCAACTTCAAATTCGAAAGTTCATGGACGCAACTGATGTCTCCAACAAGAAAGAATTTGCCGTAGAAATGGAGATGGAGTACAAAACATTATTTTCAAGTGCGGGAGCCAAGTCAAGCACCTCAGGCGGAGAATATGCGAGGAATCAGTCCAAAACCACTTCAACAACCATTATAGCTCTGGGTGGAAGCCATGAAATAGCTTCCATCCTGTCCGACGCGTACTCACCCACATTTAAAAGTGAATTCAAAGACTGGCTTGTTTCTATTCCCAAGTATCCCAAGCCGTTTCTCTTCCAGGTCAGTCCCATTACAAACCTGGTAAATTTCCGAATGCGGGATTTGTTTCCCGACGAAAAAGTCGATTGGGGCTGTGAGGGACACGCAGCAAGCTTGAAAACTGAGAAGAACGCGAACGGGGATACCGTCACCTTCTTCGAAAGTGTTGGACCAAATGGAACTATGGTGAAACACTACTGCATGTTCCAGAGTCGAAAGGGATTAGAGGAGGCCATCAAGAGAAGAAGGATCAGTTTGAAGAGAGCTATCGAGGTTTATATGGAAGAGGTATCTTAATATATTGAGCGTTCGCAGTCACTCTTTAACAAATTAATTCAACCTGCATGAGAAGTGCGCTTAACCAGGTCCTGCTGTTGAACCTCCCGCCAGAAGGACTCAGTTCGCTGAGAGTTCACTCAAAAAGTTTCCACTGAATAATATTTTCCTATTTAACCTTTTTGAGGGACCATTTCAAAAAGGGGATTTTACTGTAGAGAGAGGGGTGGGAAAGAGATATGGGCATACTAAGAAAAAGTGTTTCTAAAAGAGGAACTTCCTGTTTTATAATAGAACAGATTCTATACATCTTTCTTTGAGGAGTGTGACCGTTAGAAAGTTGTTAAAGATTCACTCGACGGTTCAGTTTCAGCCTTTAATTTTCATACAGCCCGGCATTTACAACAACGCAAACACAAGCGAGGATTTTCCTCTAGCAGAAGCACAAGGTCTCGTATAGTCCATGACGGGGTCTCGCATATAGTCCATAAGGCTTAGCGCACTTACATGCGTCACGTCTAGTCACGCTTACGAATATGCCACGCTTTCAAGTTCTAACAGCGACAGTATGTTTTCTCATTACAGGGCCCAACATCCATTTCAGATTTTAACCTCCCAGCGTGCTCGTCCCCTCCAGCTGAAGCCCCGGCTCAAGCAGACCTACAGAAAAGGACGACTACAAAATTTGCACCAGCATGGCAGAAAATAACAAGCGGTCAGAAAGAGGTTCGAGTCATCTTTGATATGAAAAGAGACCTGGCCGGTATAGAGGACTACACTATTCCCCGAAACATGAGCCGCCTTGTGAAGTACACCAACGGAAAATGGCTGATAGGGGAAGAAGACGGTTCGTTCCACTTGTACAATGCCTTCAACAACGGAGGCACCGGTGATGCTAGGAAACGCAAGATGTCCATTTTTGGTCTGGTTCTATCGTACAACGAGAAATCTGGAGGATTAGAAATGTTACCCGCCGATTTCGAAGCTTCCAAACAGTTCTTTCCCAATCTCCACGAATTTCTTGCCGGACGTACTCTGGCCAGGGTTGCCATAGAAACCAAGTCTGTTACCAAAGTGGCAAGTAAACGAGAAGCTGCGGCAAGTGCCCCTTGCAATGTCAAATGGTCAAACGCACTTCGTTTCGATCCGACGGATTCTAACGGAAAATGCCTTCATTTCACAGCCGCTAGCGAGGGAAAGATTTTCGTGGTATTCTCGACTTTACCTAAGGATAAATCGTCATGGTATTACACTGAGATAACTCCTGATAGAGTGGCCATTTATAAGGTAACAGATCATCGGCTCCTCTTATTGAATTCTGGCGCAGGAAGGGTTCCTTCTCTCTTTGTTTCCAACTTCCACTCCAAATGCAGAGAAGTCGAGGAGCTGATGCATACTCCTTCATAGTTTTAGACGACATTTATTCAACGCCCTCTCCCCCACTCCCCGCGCCTCCTCCACTACCTCGTTAAAATTTAAACTTCCACGATATGAGAAATGTGCCGACAGTTGGGGGCTGGTAGCTATGATTTGTTAGGGTCACTGAGACGAAAAGAAATACATACTTTAAGTCGTTGTTTGCCAACGGCGAGAGCTCATGACTACCTTATTATTTTTAACTTTCACAATCCATGGAATCAGACACTTTTTGAAAATTGAACTTGAAAAAGTTTGGACACGAAAAACTAATACTGATGATCATTTGAACGAACGGTCGGTGGTAACTCTCCCCGCTCCTTCTCCACAGGGTAACCAAGTGAAAACATCAACCACCAACAAGAACGCGCGGGGTCTGGGTGACCCAAGCCTGCTGCAGTCTTACTTTGTCTGTGTCACCGAGTCTGAATCAACCACTCTCATGGAATATGGAAAAACACTGGGAACTACAGAGAGTGGTGATATTTACTTAAACATGCTAGACATCACTGATCGCTTGAACGTGCGATTCTACGCGTTCGGGAACGGAGATAAGGACCTCGATGTGATAGACGCCCACATCGTGCCACGTGACTTAACCGAGGCTGAGTGTAAAGGGGATACATATATGGATCTGGAATCGAGGCTGTGCACACAAAACTGCCACGAGGACTGCGATCCACTTTATGGTAAGGAGACGGTTAACAAATACAGAATCAACTTATCGGGTGTCTATAAGCATGAAAATAAACTAAAATGTAAAACGCAATCTTCTATGAGGAATTTATTGTTCTCTTAATGCTTCATGCGTGAAGTAACGCCATGTTTCTTAGTTACCTAGCAACTTCAGGAAAATGCGGGTCTTAATATCGTAAGGCCGATTTACCCTAAAATGGTACTCATTACCCAGTTAAGATTAAGACTCTGGATAAGACTCATACCTAGAGGTGTTTGGTTAATGCGTTATCCACAGCCATAAACTTCACTAGGTCAGCTCAATTTTTGCGGAACTCAGTTAAGATATCTACAACTGGCCGACATATTACAGCGTAAAACTACTAATTGTGTGTTATATTTTGTCCCTTTAATCTAAGGATGCAACACGAAATCATCTGGGAACCCACTGCCCACAGAATGTAACGTGTGCCGAATTGCCGAGGACCTGGCCACGGGAAAATGTCTGCCAGACTGTAAAGAACCCAACTACTTATCGCCCAATAAGATTTGCATTGACAAGAGTGGTAAATACTTTTGATATTTTCGGATAGACGATAGAGTTTTTAGAAATTGTGTCTAGGGGCTTGCGAGCACCCTCTTTTGTCGCGAAAGAAACGTTTGTTATCTAAGCAATTGCTTGTGAGAAGCAAATGGAAATATGCTTGTGATCAAGAGCGCACAAAGGTACATAAACTTTCGGGCTCGCCTGCACCTGAGTTGACTTCAGTACGTTCTGGTCTCGATCAAATATGAACGTAAGTCGGTGCAAGTTTGTTCTCCGTTTGGAAACCAAACTCCAGTCAACACAAGTAGATCGCACGTTATCCATAGCGTTAAAAGGTTGCTTTTTCAACTTGAGTGCGCTTGAGATGAAGCTTGGCAATCCTTTTGGCCATCCGAACAAGTTTTTATACAAGACTAGCTTGCAACTTCTTACTAAATCTATCATACATATGGGTCTGTCCTAAGTCTAACAGTTCATTGTTTATATCATTTTCAAAGGCACTTTTGACCTGGAGCTAGGGACACACGTTCTTTCTGAAAGGCTTTCAGTGCGCCAGATCCCCCATCTACCATCCCTAACCATGTGCACGTGGCTTCGCTTCTTGGATTTTAAAACTGATTGGGCTTGGAGAATGATGGACTACGAAGTGAGAGGGACACGTTCGCAGAGTCTTCAGCTGCTTTGGGTGAAGGGTGGTGAAAATCGACTGGAACTACTTATTGTCCAAGGATATTGGACTGGAGAGAGTTGGGCTTCACTCGACAGGTAGGAAGCAGTGACTACTAAGAGAGTGACGCTCAC